AAATGCCAGGTTGCAATTTTTCATGAAGTCTAAAACCAGCAAGAGATTGTGTGATCCAGAAGAGCTCACACAACCCATTGCCTGTGCAGTAGGAAGACATTCTGTCTACATCATGCATTGGGACATTCATCTCACTTTGGAAATGAAAGGAGAATCCTGCTGAGTAAATTAGAATCAGTGGTAATACAGCTGTTAGCTACAAACATTTGTTTGGCATGAATCAATCTCAACTCTCCTGTAGTTTGCTTTGATGGTCTCTCTAGTATCTTGTTGACTAATGATGAGATCATGGTTTGTTAATCTAAGTGCATAAAGAAAACATTCTGCCAAGCAAAATGCAGACTCTTTTGCTGGGGTTTATTGCAGTTGTTTATAGACCTTTTGTTTACACAGGCATCCAAACCAATTTGTTGGATATTTATTTGGGTTACTCTACAGAGCTGCCTGAACAGAGACCTGAATCCTATCTTAAATCTGTCTGCATTTTAATGGGTTGTAGTTTGAACAAAGTGGAAACCAGCCGCTTAGGATACATTTCTTGTTGGCCAGAACTTCAAATGTTTTGTGTGCTATCTATAATTCTCATCTTGAGAGCATTTAACAACTGGAGGGAGTTGTAAGCCAGTCTGATTTGGAGGTTACACATTTGGTTTTAAACAGAAGTTATTAGAACTCATTAAACTTTTGCAACAATCAAAATACAATTTTTATCCCAGGCACGGCTTTAAATCTGCATTCTAAAATGCTTATAACTTCTTACTCTCCATAATCATCTCTAATTTTAAACCCAGAACATACTGCCCTCAACTATTCCCTATGTACCAGGAACTTACGGGTACACCACCCCCACACCAGTTCCAGTTCAGATAGAGCACACAGGTAGTGACTTGGGCAGACAGCTCACAGCAGGAAAATGGCTGTATTTGCAAAGCCTTAACTGAGCTCACAGATCTGAATGGAAATAAAGGCAAATTAAGAGTAAACTGGCTTCTGATAGCTGCTTTTTTTTCTGATGAAAGCCTTTCATCTTTTTTGCATAGCAAAAGTTCTTTCAGAGAATAAGAAAATATAAAGAAACTCTTTGCATTTGTGTAAAATTGTCCCCTCATCAGCATTTGTCTTAGAAATACATAAAGCCCACTGTTACTTCACTGGGCAAGAAACTTGCAGAACATCCGTACTTCTGAGCACTGCAGCCTAACAGCAGACACAGGGATGCCAGACATCCTGTGTTTGGACCTGTTCTTAAAGTCAGAAATTGTAAATTACTAGTTTTAATTAAATTGTTGCTAATATGTTTTTAAAGGATTCAGACAAGAATATGTGGAACTGTGAAGAAGCTGAGGCAGAGAGGGGCGAAAGGACAGGCATGTACAGTAAACTGTGGGGATAGTGGGACACAGCTGAGCTTTACAGTACCTCTCCCATGCTCCCAGTGAGTGGGAGTTTCACCCTACAGCTCGGGACCAGAAGAAGCAAGGAGAAATTCAGTAAGATGTAATGAGATATGTACATTGATTATGGACTTTCAAGGAAAGGTAGGAAAAGGATAGAAGCAACTGTTAACATGGTCATATTGGCTGGAAGAAAGTTTAGTTATGGCAGTTTAAATTTCTTCTGATTGTGGAAGATGAGGAAAAATGTGTCAGTGAAGCCTGAGAGGAGATTGCTGTAATTAAGGAGGATCATGGATTAGCCCTGGTTCACTAAAACCAGCACAGTAAAAATAAACATTTTGGTTAGAATGCCTGTACCAAACTGGCTGCTGAAGAGTGAACCGAAGCAAGCAGAGAAGCCAAGAAAGCTACTGGAATCTAAGGAGGCACAGTATTTTAGGTGGGCTTTCATACTCAGTGTGATTTTATTTCTTTCAGTGTGAGAGTTGTCAGAGTGAAAACCATAGCCTGCCAGGTGTTTGCAGAACACTTCCCCTTCCAAGTGAGCTGTGGAGGGAAGAGCTTTGAGATCCATGTACTAGGGGACTGGGAGAGGAAGATGATGCATGGGAGAGTGTTTCATAAGAAGCAGATAGGCTGAGGGATGATAGAGTTGGCAGACTGGTCTTTTAATGTGTGCAAGCAAACCCATAAAAGGAGGGGCAGCAGGAAAGATGGAGAGAAGTGAAATCAAACAGTAATGGCACCAGAGAAAAAGAGTTCTCTCTGCTTTTTCCTGCATTATTTGGTTGTGGGGGGAGTAAATAGCAGTATTTTAAAAAATTCAGAGCACCTGAGAATCTAAAACCTAGAGAAGAGAATGCATACTGGATAGCTCTAAACTAGAAATCAGAAGCAGAAGTTGAAAGTTATTTCTGTGTTGTCATTGCATGGGCACGGGCTTGAGGCCTCCCAGTCATCAGGAGTGTCAAGAGGTACTGGAGCAATGCACGGGTGACAAGGCCATTGGCACATGGAATACAAGTGTCCACATGCACCTCTGGGCTCAGGAAGTGTGTTAATCCCTGATTGTCAGAAGCTGTGAGGCTGCAGCAAGGAAAGGATCACTCTACACATGGATCACTCTCTTCTTCTGTGAGCATCTGGTACTGGTCCTGTTGCAAGATAAGGTGTGAGGCTGGAGGCTCTGTGGTGTGGCTTTATTGAGGTAAGGTTGTGAACTTGGCCTTTTGGCTCGTATTTCTATGGATTGAGTTCTACAAATATTGGAACACATTAGCTTTTTTTTCCTTTTTTCCTTTTTTTTTTTTTTTTTTTTTTTTTTTTTTTTTTTTTAGGAGGAGCAGCCTATTTTCTGCCTTTCAAGAACACTACAGAAAAAAATAGCCATTTTTTTGGTGATTTTTACAGGCAAATGGAGAGTTTTCATTAGTCATATGTATACTTCAAAGGTAAAGAACTTATATAAAAGAATCTCATGGTGAAAACTTGAGAAAAACCTGTGCTTCAGAATCTCAATTTAAAGATCTTTGCATTGGTACTGATAGGTTTTATCATTAACTTGCCCATCATGAGCTGCCTTAGCTAGCACATGGATGGAATGGAGGAATGGAGTTAATAGGTGGTGTTTATACACCTACTGGCTATTGGAAATCCCCATCACTGGAGTGTACAGTTGACATGCTTCAGACAAGAACCAGAGATACAAAATATTTCCATTATTATTTCACTAGAACTTGAAATCTGCTTTGGAGGAGTCAGATACTCTAGTCCAGCTCATATCAGAACATGGTGTTTAAAATGTTACAATGTTGACTTGCTCTAACAAAAATTCAGTGTTACAGGAAATCAGAAACAATATGGAATAGTTTACACTAACTCTGCATTAAAACGATCCATCTGTTCTTGCTTTAGGTTCTTAGAGAATTGCTTTTTCATCTCTGTAATGCTTTTCACTTCCTATTAGTAAGGCTTTTAAAGGTAGACACTGAGTTAGTATAAAACCCACAGCTTTTGAGTTTAAACGCCTATTAAAACTAAAGCTGTCTGGAACTACAATAAAAATTTATTTTGGCTACAAGAGACAACTTTGAAACCTAACCCATCTGTATTTTTCCTCTTCCAAACAGTGCAACATCCTGTATAATAGAGTATTTATCTTAAACAGAGACCACATATCTTTATGAAAACAATTGTTTCAACTTAATTTATGGGGGGTAATCAGCTCATATTAAAATTTTCAGTATTCCAGGATGCTAATCTTAATTGGATACAGGAGATGTAATGACTAGAGTAATTCCATAGAATAATCTGAAATCTGATGTAGCCATTGACTTAGAATGTAACCTGTGTATATTAGAATCTGAAGTTGTCATTAAAAAATCATGTACAGGCATATAGTAATTGCAAAATACCTATGTATGCAAATTAGGCATACAGCTGCAGTTACATTTTCCTGGTAATTTAGGTTTGTGTGTGACTTGCAAACTCAATTACAGAATACTTCCACCAGAATAATTTATTTGAAATAATTGAGCTGGTCTCTGCAATCCTTGCGCCCACCAGGGAGCCCACCAGGGAGATACCCACACATATCTAGCAAGGCGGCATGGTCAGTGAATTTATCAACACAAATCAAAAACAAATTGCCTCACTGTGAAGAGCAGTATCCCTGGGATAAAGCATAAAGCCTTCCACTGCCACGAGTGGGAGTCAAACATATCAAAGGGAGACTGGATCCCTGGGGTTTAGCTCCCTCCACACAATAGTTTGTCAGATTCTGAATTGAAAAGGGCCGGGTTTAGCACTCTCTAAATATAACCAGCCCTGAAACTCCCACAGAGATTCCTTTCTGTCTGCCTTCAGACGATGAGATAAGGCCCCTTCTCCTGTGACTTCAGTCTGGAGTACCTCTGTCATCCCCACCCCAACCCTGATAACAGCCAGCTTGGCACATATTTGAGAGCAAGATGTGATGAGAGTTTTGGGGATTAGTCTTCCCGTAGATTGCAGCCTTCCTCTTCAGAGTGAGCCTCCTCTCTAACATCTGCAGCATAGACTCCTAGCAAGGCATTTTGGCGTCCAGGAGACAACTGTCTCCCTTCATCCTCTGGCCAGCTTCTTTCCATCATTTTGGGAACTGAAGCATTGGATAATCTCCTTTTCTCCCTGCATTCCTTCCCTTTTAGGCCTCCTCCTCAACCTTAATATACTTGTATGCAGCATCAAAATAGAAGTATATTTGCACAATTTGCTCCCTTCCTCTCCCTTTTCCCCAAGTACAGCAGGATACGCAAATTATGGATGTTAAAGCAGCACTTATGTGTGCTATGATATACAAGGGATGTTCTGCCTACTTGCATGTGATTCACATCCTCATAAGCCCACAGGAAATCCCAGCAATATTTTTCCAGGCATATCTCCTGTGCTGAGGTGCTGAGCACAGCAGGGGCTGGAGGAAAGGAGCTGCTTGTGCTTGGGAAGTCCTGTGGTACATAAGTTTAGCTGGGAAGCACAGACCACTGTAATTTAGATGTAGCTCTTTTACCCAGTGGCAGTAAGAAATATAGTACAAGGACTGAAGTATTTATTCATGTTTTACAGTAATGTGTGAAGCCTCTTACCTCAGTGGATCCAGTGAAAGCAATTTTATCAATGCCAACATGAGAGGCTATGGCTGCACCAACAATTGGACCAAATCCTGGCAAAATATTGACAACTCCTGGTGGAAAGCCAGCCTGTCAAAATAGGAATGAATGAAGGTAAGCATGAGTTATGAGAACTGTTAGAGCATGTTAAAGCAGGCATGTGCTGGTGGTTCCTTCCCCACAAGGAGAGACAGACTTCACTCCCCTCAATTCTTCTTACCTCCTTGATGAGGGCACCCATATAGAGAGCACTGAGTGGTGTTTGTTCTGCTGGTTTAATAACTACTGTATTGCCACAGCACAGAGCTGGAGCAATCTTCCATGCAAACATCAGCAGGGGGAAGTTCCACTGTAGGAAAAAAAAAGTTGATAGATGGAAAAATATTGCCGTGGTGTTTTGTTTTCAAGATGTCAAGCTGATACCTCGCTTATTTCTCAGGCTGATCCTCAACATAAATCTTTCCCAGCACAAAGCAAGGATTTTTTTAAAAATAACTGCCATTAAGAAAGCAACAGTGACTTCTTAGTTCTTTTTCTCCTCTTCAAAGAAATACAACCCCCACCTGCAATCTCCATTTAAAAAGTTCTGTTATCTGTTAAATTTTTAAGTCACAACTTTTTATTGCATTTACTGTTTTGCTATTGGCACTTTTAATTCCCCCATGAAAATAGGTCTTGCTTCTGATATATTTGGAAAGACCTGTTTGTTAATGTTGAAGCAGTTTTGGATGTAAATTTCATATCCCATCTTAAGATACAAAATTTATACTCAAAATTATATAATCCTTAATTGATGGCATTGCAATAAAAAGTCCATAAATGTCAATGTTCAATCAAAGCATTTCATTTTCTTGAAGACTTCTTACTGAGAAATCTATAATGGAAGATGTTAAAAGGACACTAAAAAAGAAGTTGAGAAACTCTTTGCTGCTATAAAATTTTGAATTGTCCTTCATTGAACTGCAGCAGATGATGTAGTGAATTATATTAGTTCAATGCACAAACATGCCTTGGATAAAGATAAAAGTAACAAGCCTTTTGCACCAAGGCCTGATCCTAGCAGGTTAAGTGGATAGTCCTGCTGATTTTAGTGAAAATGTCAGAGTAATAAGATAACTGTGTTTTCACAATCACTCTTACAAATGCATACAACAGTCTCTTTTAGAAGGAGAATAGAAAATATCAGTCACAGAGTCAGCCACTGGCCAGAACGTGTTGCTGCCTGATGCATATCAGCTGCCACTCTCAGACATCTCTCTAGCCCCTGGCTAGCTTGAAAAAATACACAACTGTCTTTCCTTCACAGAACACCCAATATTTTACTCCCTCTGTTGTTTATAAACTCCGGAGACAAAGTGATGTTTTAATTCCATCTCCAGTACATAAACCTGGGAGGGGAGCTGTCGGGCCAGCAGTATGCTAACAGCCTGCACTTCTAATGGCATTGCAAGGAGAGCTCACAGCAGTTTTATAGGGCACTATATAGCCCTGTTTATGCTACAGCACTGCCAAAGAGCACGTTTTGATGGAAGCTGGGATGTGAAAGAGGATGAGGAGTTCAGTGTTAGACTTGCTGTTTAATTTTATTTTTGAATAATGTATTTGCTCAGGCAATGGCCAAGCACATGCAGCAGCCTGGGCTGTTCTCTGGGACTGGTAGCATGGAGGAAATACAGAACAGATCAGCAGTGGTGTTAGAACAGATGGATATGACAGCCATCTTCAGGCTTTGGACAACAAAACTGAGGGAAGAAGGAACATGTATTGTAGATGGCTGGGTACCCTGAACAAAGGTTTACACATCTAAACTAAATAAATCCTGTTTTTGGCATGATGCTCGGCCTATGGCCAAGTTCCTTCCGCAGGTCTGTCAGTTAAGCTCAGTGAAACAAGCATAAGAGATGTCCAGCAAGACAGGGCTTAGATACTGGGGCTGTCATTTAGTAAATGCTTATCCATGTGCCTGGCTGAGGAACAGGGACAGAGCTGTGGAATCTCTCATTCATAACGACCAAGTCAGGAGAGTGTGTAGGTGTTTGCGGGATGGCTGTAGCCACAGACTCTCTGAGTCATTGCACGTTTCTCTGGGTTTCTGCTGAGTGCCAAACACAAAAGCCACCCCTTAACAAAGAAATGAAACAGCAACAAATATAAATAGGAAAAAAGGGCTTAACATTGATAAAGTAATATTTTCTGGCTGCTCCTCTTGTAACGGAATTGCTCCGTGTTTCTGTTTAGTGGCTTTGTCATAATGCAAACAAAATAAAAAATCAACATCCACAAAAAAAAAAAAAAATCAGAGAATGGCCTGATTATTCCCTCAGTGTTTTGTCAAGCAAAAAAGCTTCCATGCAATATTTTAATAGCTGTATGTGAGCCTCCCATTGAAATTTCTGCCAAAGCTGGTTAACTGGCTCTTCTGAAAAAGTTACCCTCTCAGTGCAATTCCCATGCTGTGTTCAGCAAGATTTTATTATGAGGGTGTCTGCTGGGGTGTAGGGGGAGTATTGAATTTGATGAAATGATGTGTTTCTCTCTCCCAACAAATAAAACAAACATTTCATGTCTTCTATTAGCTACACAATGTTAATTGTAATTATATGTCTCCTGGAGTTTCCTTTTCTCCTCCAGCCTTGTAAAAGAAATAGCAGGAAAGAATGGAATTAAAATACATCACATTCTCCCAGGAACTGAGGAGCCTGTTAAATCACAGTAAAAACTAAATAAATAAAGAGACTACCACAGCAAAGCATCAATTTTCCATAAGTTGTGTGAACATCCATAACCACTGACAGCATATTAACACTGTGTTTTGCTTTGCTTGTTTTAATCATGTGAATTCTATGACTTGAGAACTTAACTCCTAATAACAGAGCCTAAACCCTATTAGCATGTTCAAATAAGCATTTGCAGGGAGGCTGTTAAAGATATGTCAACAATATGAGCTCAGCTTTTTTCGTAATGGAAAACACACATAGCTGAAGACCATGTTTTATGTGTCTTTAAAGAGAGCTGGTTCAAATGAAAATAAATAGAAAGCACTAGTAGAGATACTCACAGGGATGATCTGTCCACACACTCCAATGGGTTCATGTCTTGTAAACGTAAAATAATCTCCATCTGAAACAGATGAGCATGCTTACTCTCAAGTGCAGTTTGACTTGGCAGAACAAAAAAAAAATTAAAATAGAGGGAGGGAAAAACTCTAAGGATCAGCCTTTGATGGCAGTAAAAGAAATAAAGAAGCCATGGAAGTGTTTTTTTGTGAGCCAGCATGGGAAACCTAGGCTCACGAGCAACCTAATTGTTCTTTCTGTAGAACAAAGGAAGCATGCTTCCCATCAGAAAGTAACCTGCTTTGTTCCTTGGCAAAGAGCTGTACTGCACATAAAATTGCAGTAGCATGGAAGCACTTACTGGTCTCAGCTGATTTAAGGGTAGAGAAGTGAAGAGTCACAAAGGCAATTTCCTGAAAGGCATGAGTGGAGCACAGCAATATAAAGGTGTATCTACAACCCAAGTGTGGGGTAATAGAGTAACATTCAGCTGACTCATCTGCCACTGAGGACACGGGCAGTGTGAAGTGATGGAATGATGTACCACCGTCTCTAGATGTGCAATGAAGAGGGAAAGTTTGTGATTTGTGTCACTGAGCATCATTTACTTTCTGTGGTCTGGGAGCACATGCTGAGGTTACACATGCAGGTTTTTTCCCAGTTAACAAAGAGCCAGAAGGGGACTTGCTGTGTGGGGACCAGTTAAAGGATCAGTTAAGGTGCTGTCTAACCAGTAGCTTTGTTAGTGTGCTTGGCCTGCATCTGTGCAAAGTTGATTTACTGTGCCTCTGTACCTCAGTTGAGTCTCGTAGCTGTATAAACTAGCCCAGACTCAAACTATCTCTGAATTTAGGTCAGATGCTTTTTAGTGAGGGCACAGCTGAGGGAAAGGCTATGCTAAAGGCATGAGCTGAATGTGCCCCTTGGCCTGTAGTGCTTGGTCATCTAGAAGAATGCAAATCTCTTAACTTGGGAAAATAATTTCAGCTAAGTGTGTGAGAATGATGAGGTTACCTAGGCTTAATGGCAGGAGATGATTTACCAGGATAAGAAAAGGTTAGACAGCGGAAAGGAGTAAGAGGAGGAGGAGGAGAGATTGCAGGGCTTTTGCTCCCATTGTTCTGTCTGACATAGGGTATGTGCTTTCCCTCCCAGTCTGGGCTGGGAAGTGGCTGCCCCAGGCTCTCCCCCATTCAGTCCAGAGCTGGAGCCACCCTTGTGCAATACTGGGGAAAGGTTTGACTTCACAATGGACAGTGTGGTTTGGGAACCTGCTGCAATATCCTCTAAGATATATCTGGTAACAATAAACAGGTTAATCCTTAAAGTTTCTTGGGCTTAAGGAAAGACTTCAACTTGAATTTGATTAGAAATAACTTATTGCAGGTCTGCTTATTTCTATCCACCTACTTTACAGGATTTGCTCAGTAGAAACCTGAGCTAAAGTAGGTAATATGTCAGCTGGGGGCCAGGTACAGAATAATTATGAGAAAGGTAATAATAGTCTGCAACCAAGACAGGGACAGAACAGAGAAAATAAAGGAGGGAGGGAAAGAGAGAAAAAAGATCCCGGAAAAGGCAGAAGAAAATAGTTTATCAGTTAGTTTGCGCTGCATTGACAAAACATCGTTGTAATGTTTTGATCTCCAGATGTCTGACAACTCCCCAGTGGAGATGAGAATATTTGTGTCACAAAGATGATCAGTTTGATTTTCCAGGTTTTCTTTCACAGATGCTAGCAGTGGTTCACAGACCGTAGGGAGATTCATCAGATCTGACATAAGCGAAGTAGAAGTCAAAATACAGAGAAGTACATACAAGCAAAACTAAGTGCTCAAGGGAACACACGAGGAGTCAGCTAAAAATATCAGCTTGTACTGGGTAGTACTGTGAGAGGTGGGTTCTCAGCCAGAAGGATGGTGGCAACATAACAGTAACACAGTTACATTAGCAGTGTCTGACTTTAGATTGTCACTGCATAATCACTGCCACATGTCTGTGTGCTTCATCACACGGAGTTATAGATAACCTGAACCTCTTGCCAAGGCAGACAAATGGTGGTTAATTCTGCCCAGCGTAGGCAGAACGATCTTTCCGCAGAGCGGTCCTCCCATGCAGAACTGCTCTCCCTGCTGTCTCCCACTAGACTCTAGACAGATGCCCTTTTTGACACCTACTTCCAAAGTTCATCCTCCACAGATTTTCTGTCAAGATGGGATTTTTGAGGTTTCTTTCTAACAATATCTTTGGGAACATATGTGACTTGAAGTTATTCAGAAGCCTTGGATGTCTCTGGACAGGCCAAAGGATCATCTAAGAGCCACCCTCTCCATAACGTAGAACAAGCTGTTACCATGACAAAATAGCTCAATAATTAAATGAGCTTAATTCCATTATTCTAAACAGTGAGCATAGAAACGTCCCTTGTGCTTAGAAATTATACAGGAGACTTTTTAAATGTTTGGGAGTTTTAAGTCATGCTAATGACCCTTATTCTAAGACACTGTGGCTGATGAGTGTTACTCTGGTCCTTTACTAGGTGGCTGCCAGAAGAACATTGCCTGAGAGGGACCTGACACTGATCCCACATCCAATCTAAAATTTTGTGTAAAAAGGGTATTTTTAATATACGCAGCTGAAGTAAACCGACATTCTTCAGTCCTCACTGATATTAATAGAGCAAGATCAATTTGCAGCTGCTTAGCACCTGGCCCAAAAACTTTCATTTTTTAATCAGAAAGCAGGTCCCATTTATCCAGGGATCTCACTTTGGGACAGCAATATCTTCCACAGATGTGTTTGCTTAGATTTCCATCAGGAGTCTCCAGCATGGATATTTTATTTGCATAACAACCATAATACAGTCCTATGCCTCATATAGCAGGACACAGCAAACAAGTAGGTGAGGAGAGCTGAATTGGTTCTTTAAACTATATCATAGCATATAGTGCTTTAAAGATACATTTCTGCTTGCATTCAGTTTATTAGTTTAACATTTTCTGGTCTAGCCTCATTCTGTTTTAATTTAAATCATCAAGGCTTTACGCTTGGGAGCAAGCAAAGGGCAGTCTGAAGGTTTTGTAGCTCTGGGGCCAAAAGGAATGTGACTGTAAAACACACTTCTTCTTCTACTTGTCTATCAATTGCCTATTTTTATTTTAAAGGAAAAGAAAGCTTCAACAAAAACAGCAACAAAATATTGGGAGGTTTCAGATTTATTAGCACACTGAATAGACAAGACTTAATAGTGGGGTTTTTTGGTTTTGTTGTCTTGCTTATCTTTATCGAGCTGATGGTAAGTGAACGTAAAGAGCACTGCTGTTTAACACTGGCTTTGCTCTAAAATAGCTTCATGAGAATGACAAATTTATGATGTGAAAGCAGAGCAATAAAGAGAAGTGTTAAATGAGGAATAATTGATCCCCTGAAAATCTGTGAATAGACTTATGATTCTACACTACCGAAAACTGTGTTAGCACAAAGTTTGCACTGAAGAAGGCATGCTGAAAATGTGCCTTCCTTTCACCCAGCATAGTCCACCTTACTGAAAAAAAAAAATCGGGTTATATTCTATAAGGCACTTGAAACCAAGAATAAGCAGAGAATATTTATTCTCCTTAATCTGGCAGTGCCTTTTGGTGGCTGACCTAATTTCTTTGTACCTGTGGGGCTAAAGAGTGAGAAGGAGGCATTCACTGACCAGGGAGAAAGAGATTAGGGAACAGGAAATTTGCTGAATACATGAATTTATGGTGTGGTCTGCACTTTTGTATGATTAAATGTGAAGTGCAAGCAGCAAAACTGGGATTTAAGAATCTCAGCCTAAATAACTGTGGAAAACTTTGACTCCTTGCAGGAATGTCTACACCTGAAACATTATTATTGCCATTCCTTTGGTGAAAATAAAATAGTGAAGATAAACATCAGTCAGTGCACGCTGCAATTTTAATAAGACAAAACACAAAAATGAGTAAAACTGCAAGCAGAGTTACATGATGTTTCCCTTCTGAAAATTTGAGAGGCACATTTTCAGTTTATCTGCTTGCCTCACTTGGGTAGTTTGGTGCTTTGCTATAGAGAGGCATTGCAGATACTGTGTCCCACAGTGAAACACCAGGGAAATAGCTGGGCAACAACAACAAGCATTTACCCCTGAGTGCCCTCCTGGCCTTACTGGGTAAAGTGGAATAAACATGCATGTGCAATGGATATGTGTGCCATAAATGCAAAAGGAATCCACACAATGAATGTTTGTTTTCCTTCATGTTTTTCCAGAGATTTACTTTATGCAGGTGAAAAATGAGTACACTTATCTTTATGATTGCACCTACTTAAAATAATTTTCTTCTATTTTGCCATGTTGTATAATTATAGCACTTGGTACATCTAGTCCAGACTGCAAATGAATTTGTTTGCATCAGACAATGCAGCCTGTATTTGTTCAACAGCTGGGAGGGAGGGGCAGGAGGAAGAGACTTGTTAAATAAAAATAATGATAGTGATTTTTTCACATCTCTTTAGCAAAAGAATAAGAACATAATAATTTCCTAGCATGCATGAAAGTTTATCTCATATATATATAATATAAAACTCATCCCACTGAATAATTTGAAAAGGCATCTATAAGAAAATATATCTCATATGTATGTAGTTCTCTATAGTAACATTAAGAACGCTCTCAAACTATAAATTAAGTTAGATCCAGTGTTAATCCAAGGTAAAATTATTTGCATCATATACAAACAAGATCTATACATAATGATACTGTTTCTTAAAACAGGCAACCAACACTATTTCCATGACTTCCAAGGTGTCTTTCAGGCTTATACCTCATCCATTTTTATACATGTATAAATATTTAAATGTCAGTATTGAGCTATCTCCTTCTCAGATGGATGCATGCAAAAGAAACCAAGCCCTCCCCATATGTGCATGTGGAGCAAACCAAGAGCAGGGCACCCAGTCCTGCCCTTGCTGACTTTCCAACATCTACTTCAGCAACACATTACACACTGTAGGAGCAACCCAGGCTCCTCCTCTGCCTTCCACAAAGCTGTGAGCTACTATGCTTTAGTCTGGCCATGAGAAGGTTTAGGTGCATAACTTGCTTTAATTCCCCTTACCTACAGGAATGGTCATTCCATGGATTTTGTCTGCCCAACCAGCATAATACCTCAGGGTTTTTATGACTCCCTGGAGATCTACATAGAAAGCTTGCAAAAACGGTTTGCCGCTGTTCAGTGATTCCATAGTCTGCAGGACAAGAAAAAGTTAAGAGATGTAAGTATTGTAACATTTTTTGACTATTGTACCTAAGTATTCACTGTATTAACTGCTCTTGAACCATGACAAAGATTTTAATGATCAGTTGCACCTTGGTGTAGTTTTAACCCAGAAAGTTCAGAACAATTATCTGATCCCCTTTGTTACATCTTTTCACAAATGTGAACAAAAAGTATTTTCCTTGAAAAACCCACACTGTTTTTTTCTGGAGTACTCTGGAATGGCTATGATTTTAAGAATATATGTGTATGTTTATGTGTGTTTGTCTGTCTGTCTGTCTTGTGGATTTATGTGTGTATCCATATGTATGTACATGTGCCTTTGTGTACTTTGAATCTAATAGCCACTGTGTTTGGTCCAGATCTATAAATGCTGAATTTCTTTAATCAGGAGCCAAGATAAAAATGCCTGTCAAACTAGGTTCTGTTATGTTAATGATAACAGCTGAGAAGGGGCTCCTTGTAGCCCTGTATTAATGATCTGAATCCATAAAGAGAAGAATGGACACATCCCTCTTTATATAATTGATGTGAATATAAAAATTTCTCTATATGGTTGCCAAGACTCCTGCTGAGGTCTGAGATATCTATACTGTACAGCCAGTTTATTTATTGCCATCAAATAAACAAACTTTCCTCTAGGGAAGCTCATAAATTAACAAGCTATCTTTATTTTTAGTTAATATTCCTATTTTTAAAAGTATCTTATAAGCTATCCTCTTAAGGGTTCCTAAGATAATTTAGCAAAAAAAATCGAATAAAATATCCTAAGATGTTGAGTAGCTTAACTCATTCTCAATAGCTGCCTAATAGAAATCATTAAGAATGGGCAATGGATGCCCCTGTATAACACACCAACCATCAAATGAGTTTCTATAGAGAAGAATGGAGACCTAATTCTGCACTGACTTATATCCCCAAGAGCAATTAATGGCACTTCCTGCAGTGCAGCTCAGTAAAGAACTTGGCTCCAGAAATAAAAATTAAATGACAGGCAGAGTAAACTTGATTTGCTGTGCACTTCCTTCTCCCCATGGCGATTTTACAGTATCTGCTGGCGGTAAGATGATTTAAGTGTTGACAAAGCTGGAATTAAGATGTTCACGGGCTTAGTTCAAAGCACTTGACATGCGGAAAACAACATTAACAATGCCACCGTTGCGATGGCTTCATCCGAGAGTGGAACGGAGCCGCACTCGGAACTCATGTCACCAGCTGAGTGTCCCTAAGCACCTCACGTACCCTTCCCTTCCCGCCTGCACAGGTCATCCCAACCTGCCATTTCTTATTCTAGAAGAGTCACAGGCGTGCCTGGCAGGCACGCACATGTGCACAGCCCTGCTCTTGTGTGATGTCCAGTTTAAAGCTGATCTGAGCCCACCGGAAGCCTCTTGTTGGCTTTTATGGGTTTTGCACCACATTGTAAGTGGACAGAGCCATTTCAGCCAGGGAGCTGCATGTGGTTTTCACATACAATTCATACCAACTCATTCATGAATGAATTTACTCTCAGAATGCAAAACTGACTACTGATTTGACTACTGATTTTTATGTTTCACTTACAGCAAGAATTGCCCTGTCCCTTTCCACCAAGTCAGCTAACTTATCCAAAAGATGGCCTCTTTCTGAGGCATCCATTCTCCTCCAAACAGAACCGAGGGAAAAAGCCAGCCGAGCTGCCCTCACTGCCTTGTCCGTATCAACCTGGGAAGAAGGAAGAAGAAAATTGAAGACACAAGGTAAATAACACAAGCAGGCTTATGGGATTTGCTGTTATAAGACCTTAGTCACATGTGATGAGTTTTGGAACAATAATTAATAAAAGAACTGTCCAATAGTGCTATTCTGGACTGGTTGCTTTGATCTATTTATACAGTTACAGTATCTGTTATACATTTAATTTATACATTTAACATATAGCAGTTCATGGGATACATTACCTTGTCAGCTTCCTGGATGTCACAGATTTGTTCTCCTGTTGCTGGATTATATACTGGGAATATTCTTCCACTTTCAGAATTCTGCCACTCATTATTGATGAAAATCTAGAAAAGGAAGAAAAGTAATCTGGTCTCTTGCATGAACAAACAGTAGCGTATATAAAAACAAACTCATGAGAAAAGGTGCAGATTCTAATATAAAAGAACTGAAACTTATTTTTGTGCATGAAAATTACAGTTTTCAAGAGTTCAGACTGAGGTCAGCCCCTGATGTCTTTCTGTATTCTATAGCAGTGTCATTATAGAAGCAACATCAAAGTCTAAACATTGGTTGATGTTCAAATTTGGTTCAAAAACTGTAAGAAATAAAAAAATGAATAGCTGTATCAGAGAAAAAGCCTTGAAACTGCTGGAGACAAGACAAGGATTTAGAGTAATCACTCAGTTCAGTAAGTAAACATTTAGTCACTGATACATCCCAGTCAAGGCTGAATAATCTCAAACATCACAGTTCTTCAATACACAGTCAGTTAATTATGGCTACAGTGATGGCTTACAGCACAAAACTAACTTGCTTATCTGCTAAGAACAATGGAAATTGTTACACTCTCAGTGTTGATATTTTAATTGTCAGGGGCAAAACAAATTTAAATGGTAATGGTGCTGACAATAGCTGTCTTGAGAAAGGTAATGACAAATGAGTTTATTTAAAGTAGATTTTTTTCTGGTAGCTGCATACATGTCCATTATTTTCTGCTGAGTGACTTTAAGAACAAGATGAAATTATTTATTAACAAGTATTAAAGAAGTCACTGCATGAAAATAAAACGACTGAGTGAAAAGTTTCCTAGGTATTCAGACTCCTTCTGTCTCTTAGATCTTTTGAAGAATTAAAGAGTTAAAAAAATCCAGGCAAGATTTGGGTTCCTTGGAGTCCAGATATCAATGTATTTTTATTGGATTCCATGAAATACAACTTTAAATGTGTAAGATGATGTCCTGGCCTCATTGAAATACACAGGAATTTTCCCCCTGACTCCACTGAAAGCAGGGGTTCACACATAGACAGAAGGAATGTTCACCACCTGGTCTGGTTTTTTTTGCATACAGGGCTGTGTTTATAAAGACAGGGACCTTTGAAAGCTTGAGGAGCCTCAGTTCCAATCAGAGATACACAGGTGAGAGAAACTGGCCCATCTTTATGCAGATGAAGGCAAAAATACATCTGTAGAGTTTTCGAGTTACTAGAGGTGAGCTTGCTCAAACCTATTCTCCAAGCCAAATGGAAGTCCTGTAGCTGCGTTCCTCTCAGCAGGACTTGTTAGCTCAGGCTCGGTTCCACAGTAGCTGCAGTGTCACAGCTGCTGCTCCAGAGCTCACTCGTGTCCAGCTCATTGTGGCCATGTGTGGGAGGAACGTGGAAAAGGCCCTGCTGACAGAACTGTACACAGGAACCAACAATTCCATGTGCTTTGCTAATATGGATGTGTTCCTGTTGTGCTTCCTCATCTTCCCCACGCCTCAAACTTCAACCTCCTTGCTGGGTGCCCCTCCATCCATTCCAGAGCCTGTCCTTTCTTTACTCCTCCTTGCCCCTTCTGTTTAGGTTTTGAAAGGTTGCTGAACAGGACCTAGCACAGCACTAGCATTGCTTTCCTTGCATGCCCTATTTATCATGAACCTGTTGGTGTGCTTGGACTGTGTGCATCTCTGTGCTGGTGTCTTCCCGCTCAGTGATGACAGTGTTCAGCAAACCCAAGTACTGCTCCCTGTTAGGACATTCTGGAGCTAACCCAAAATGAGACAGTGAAAGAATCACCAGTACAATCTGTAATGACCAATGCTATAAGCTGAAATCCTCTGGTGTATCCTTGTTACTTTTGGACTATAAGTGAAGCAAAGAAACACTGAGATCTGTGACCTGTGTGGAAGAAGGAATTTACTCCATGCTTTCCACTGAGTTTTCTCAGAGTTAACTCTGTAGCCAGTGAGTGTGTCGGGGGGTGCTGAGGAGGGAGGGGAGGGGAGAAAAGCTTCCAGCTTCAGGAGCAGATGGCCAGAGAAGATGTAAGCATGTTTGTTTAAGGTGACAGGATGTACATAAACACATAGGCTTCTTGTGTGAGCTGCATTGAAAAAATAAAGCAGTTTGGTTGAGTACAAGAACCTGAGAAATTGTGGCAGTGACAATTCAGTACACCTCCCTTAGAGAAGTGGTCTGTTCTTTTTTAAATAGATTAAAAAAAATTTAACTCCATTCTTCCGGCATTAACACCTATCATCAGACTTGCTAGTACATGGGACATGTATTTGTTCTTGAAATACATTTCACCACATGAATGAGAAATAGTGACGTGGAATTACAAAGGAGTGCTGCAATTCAAGCTGACTGGAAGGAAAAGCTGTGTGATTTTACTGAATGCTCCATTTATCCCACTGACTTAGAAAAAGAACAGTAATAGTAAATATTTCAGATAGGACATGGGAAGGATCTATTTGGCATAAAGTTAGAGCTGAAAGCAAGAGAAATTGCTACTGTTAATGGTTAATGTTAGTTTCTTCCTGTTCCACTTTCTATAAACAAGGTATTGCCTATACAAGCTCATTACTGTAAACTGAGCACATTTAAATTGGCAGTAAAATCAGAGTATTTACTCTAGTGCACAAATAAAGTACCTAGTCCCATGTTTTGGAACAGTTTCAAGTCTTGAAATCCAGCAGCTGGCGGCTTTACAAGCAAAGCCTTACACTTAAATAATTCACTTTTGAAAGTTTTAGGTGTTCTGTGTCAGGTAGTACCATTCAGCAGATATTCCTACCACCGAGACGCAGATTCTTTTGCAATAAATTTGCATTCACAGGGGCTTTTATAACTCTTCCAGCACTACTGACTCCAATGGCTGTTGATTAAATGTATATATCCTGTACATTTAATCTGACTTTCATTATGGCCACTTCGTAAAAATGCCATGAAATGGAGAAGCGATGACACATTGCAAGAAAAAGGAATCCCTGCAAAGCCTCAAATTGGGTTTTTTTTCTCCCTTATTTATAGTGATCATGGTAAAGGCTAACTCTAAATCAGGGAGCATATTTGACAGCAAATGTTCCTATCTATGGATTATATATAACCCATCCTAAACACCAGATAAAAAAGGGGTAACCTTAGAAAAAGAAGGGCTTGCTTCCATGTAAATCATGCTACAAATTGGACAACACCCAGTGAGTTCATTGTTCAACCTCAATTGTGAAGGCTATTCACATTTACTATTCCCCTGGAATCAATGTTAATTAAGGCTGACTGGAGCTATAAATCAGCCTTTGGTTTTTACAACTTAATTCAGCATTAAGCATATATATGTAAATAAAAGGTAACTGATTAACCACTTCAGTTTTCCAGGAGTTACTGAGGTAATTTGTTTTTGTTTGAGTCCTAGTGTTACCTTTTGTGATATGCAGTAGGGAGAGAAAAAGTCTATAGTGTGTCATGCATTTGCTATGTGGTATTGTGGTAGTTAAATAACCTGGCCTGTTGGGTGCTATCAATAGCATTGTGCCAAAAGGCAAATGGAAGAAGGGAGCACTTGAAAAATCTTGGAATACACAAACGTTTTGTTTGCCACTTACTTTCAGTAGAGGCAATAATGGCAGTAACATCCGAGCAAGAAGATGAAAGGTCAACTTTGCTGCTGTACTGAGGTGTCCCTGTCAGGGCAGTGATTTGGCCAAGAACAAACCCAACTGCCAAAGCAGCCAAGGCCTCCTGTAAGTGGAGTCTGGCTCTGGCTGGTGTGCAGTGGGTGAAGCAGGAAACCAAATACATTTGTTCCCCAGTGATGCCAAAGGGACCAGCAGAGCAGGGGAGCTGGGGGTGCAGGTGCTGGGGTGTCTGGGGTTGGGGGGTGGGAGGGGCTGTTCCAAACAGTGCAGTGTGACAGGCCTGGGTGGAAGCTCCCAGGTGCCCCTGTGAACATGATGCCCCTTGGAGTGTCATCATTCTCAGGAGACCTCATCACACAGATCTCTGGGCAATTTCCTTTCCAAATGAAAGATGGAAAGGACAAGGATTTTTCTAAAGAGAACAGTTGCATTCCTCCTGGTACTGACAATAACCTCTTGCTCATACACACATGTTCTCACAGATCTTTTACTAGAACTTTGCAAGATAATGGTCCCACCATGTATTCACTAGGTTCAAATCCTGCCTGTGGCTAATTATATATTGCCTCTGTTGACAGAGTTCCACAGGGCTGATCAAGAAAGCAATCTGACTCATCCTTCAGGTCAAGTGACTGTTCAGAGCCTTGAAGATACCTCATCATACCGGAAAGTATACAAAGGAAAAGTAAACCCAAAGTTACCATGTAAAAATTCCAAGTTACTTTGAAATTGCTGACATGTAGTTGGAAGAAAATCATACATTGCATTTTGCACAAGACCTGCATTTCACAAGCATTACACACTGAGTTCAATAGCCTTTTGGATGCTCATCAGTTTTGGAATCAAGCCAAGAATAAATGTTTTTAGTATAACACAAAGCAAATTTAGCTTTGCAAATAAACAACTACAATCTCTTGTTTCAGTAGCCATCCATCCCAGCTGGCTTAGTAATAACTAGCAACTTAAAATGGTTCATTTTAAACCATGCAGGTAATTGCAGTGATAACTATTCAAAGAGGAAGGGATGTGTAGAAACCCAGGCTGGACATTCTGATCTGCAGTGCAGCAATAACAAAATTTAGTGCAGGGAGAAAACATATTTTGTGTTTTCATCACTATTTACCAGCAGGGAAGTACTAAACAACTATCTTTATTAGTGTGTGTATAAATATAATTAATTAAGCACAGAAGTAAGGCCTCCTTTGCAGCTCATAGTTGAAGGAGCCTTAGTTTCATGGCACTTCAAATTCCCTCTGCTGTTGAGCCAGGGGCTAGCCCTGGATTTGGGAAATGGAACTGATTTTTACATTCACTGGGGAGTCTGCATGCTCACTGCCTCTCTTTTTTTGTATTGCTGTTCCTTAAAATATACAGGGAAAAGAAAACATTTTGGGCTCTCTAAATTCATAAGAGTAATCAACACAGGTGGCAACAATGTAACTTTTCATTTCCTTTCTTGAAAATGTACTCAAATGATGTGTGAGCGAAATGATGATCTACATTCTTAATTCTATATTGCTTAGTGATGATGTCATGAGACATTTTCTTCAGGCTCCCCAGCTGTTTAACTCAGAACTTCAGGCAGTCCACAGACAGTGGCCCAGCATTCAGCTCTTTGGAGGTGGAATTATTTTCCCATGGATTTAATAAACAAGGTTTTTGTGTTGTTGCAGCTCCTAGAAATGTTTTTTGGTACAGGAAGAGGATTTTAACATCCAAATAATAATGGCTTCCCACAGGAGATTTGGTTCTGGATGAATGGAGGAAGGAATGGGAATTTCCTTACTCAATTGATTTAGTAGCTGGTTATAGTTTCATTCCATCAAAGATCTTTTTTTCATATGTGGGTTTTTCCTTAGAGAGCTTTTGGCATTAAATCTGCTGGGATGGGGGAGGGGTCATCAGATGCCAAAGTACTTTATAAGAGAATCACAGCTGCTTGGCCCTCAGCATCTTCTCAGAGCTGGAGGCACTAGGAAGGCACTTCTTTTTTAGGGGGGATGGACAACAATTTTAGAGGCATGCAAAAAATCCAGCAGCAGCATTTCCCTTGGTAAATACTGCATAACATCCCAGATACTGGGCACCTGTGCCTCAGTCTGGTCAGGAAATTTCATATCCTTTCCCATCTCAGCAACTTCATTTCCTCTCCTTGGGAAACATTTCAAGAGTCCTAATGATTAGTACAATTTTAAGGGAATGAACTAGGTGGGATTGCCAATCAGAGGTGCAGCTTGTTTATTTTCACAGGCCTTGTTTTCCTTCACTTTTATGGCTGTCTTGATACAGCAAATCTCTCACATTCTAGAGTGTGTTGTGAGGCACTCCTGGGAGTGACTGGAAACCAACAGCTGGCTATGGAATCAGCAAAAACCTGGTTTATAAGAAGGCACTAGGAAAGCAAAAGCCAATTCCAGCAGTCTGCTGGCTGAATGACCAGCGATGGATCAGCAGTGCCATTTAATTTTACTTTTAAGAGGGTTGTTCAAGTGACCAGCAAGAGTCACAGCTTCTTGTTGGCAGTTCACAACAGGTGAGTAATGGGCTTCAAGGCCAACCTCCCCAAGCACTGTGAGTGCAGAATCCTGCTTCTGAGGCATGAATGAGCTTGTCTTGGCAGTGCCAGTGACTGTGCTGCTTTCAGGGGATAGCCCTGCACAAGCCAAGGCAGCCTGGCTGGCCTAGCACCTCAGCACAGGTGGTTCTCATGTCATTCATTACCCCAGAGCAGAATCATCCTCAGAAGTTATCCAGTTCTTTAGTGAGATGCCTTTCAGCTGTGGGGGAACTGCAATTTGTATGAGAGTAACAGTGAACTGCAGAGGAACAACTTTGCACCAAATTTAATTCGGGCAAACTCCCATGGGCATAGCTGGTTTTCAGCTGCAAGAGGTCCAAGAGGTCCAGGGTAAAACAAAAGGAAAAAATCCAGCTGGTTTCAGTGAGAGCTGAATCAAGCCCCAGTTGAGGAAAAGGAATCAGTGGCAACAGCCTCCAGAGGGATGTTTGTACTGGGAAACAAAGCTGTTTCACTGGAAACTTGACACATGCTCTAGAGCCTGTGAGGTCTGAAAGGCCAAACAAAACCAGAACATGTTGATTTTTCTCTTTCCACTTTGGCTGCTGGGCTGTCCTTCTCTCTCCTTACTCACACCCCCCACACTGTAAAAATAGTAAAAGAAAGAAAAAAAAAAGAAAAAAAAAAGGAAAAAGAGCTCTGTTCTAAAGCTCTGTGTGCTGTACGTTGATTCATCTTTTTTAAACTCTCATTTGGACCTCAGAGCCTGATTGAATAATGTCATAGCTTTTGGATGTGGTGTACCATAAATGCAGCTTTCCTTCATGAATTCAAGCTTGAAATTGCACTCAAGAAATCTAGAGGGCAAACTTGTGAGTGTACTGAGAGAGTTGGAGAATTTTAAACCTTTACAAACAGTACAGCAGGAGGATCAAAAAAGTCGAATGGGAAATAAAATGCCCAAGAAGTGAGTGGTTTCGCTGTCAGTGCAGCAGCGCAGCCAGCTCTGGTACAATTTTGTTCATGCAAACCCAGTCCTGTGCCAAGGGTAGGTGTCTGATGAGAAGAACAGGGTGTTTGCCTTCTCTGGGTGTAAATCCCAAGTAGCAAGGCCTGAGTCAACTCTACCAAAATTAAGGCCAGTGCTTCGTATCAGTGGACTTTTGATCAGAAGCCAAATGTTTGAAAGAGGTGAATACATCAAGGTTCGGTGACATTTCAGCCTGTGTAAATTAAGTCAGGCTTCAGTGTGGCCAACATGAGCTGGAGGAGGATTCCCATGATCGAGCCCTAATGGTGGCAGGAGCTCAGTCTCTGTTCAGTCCCAGAGAGGTGGGAGGAGAGGGCAAAGCAGGCTCTTGTCTGCAGGGGCTGCTACCCTGTTCTGCTCACCTGCATGTTCAGGTGCTGAAAGGCAGATAGGGCAAGTCCCCCACTGAGCCACCTCACAGACAGAGGAGGTTTAGGGAATGGTATGCTCGGAAAGGGGTGTGATGGGAGGAGAAACCGGAGGAATCCAGAGTCTCTGAGCAACAAATGGAATCAGAGAAAGGCTTGAAGCCTCCCGTCAGTCTGCTGTGAAAGTGGAATGTAACATGATTTTTTCTCCCCTATGTTCCTCATCCCTCACGCCAAATGTTTGACCTGCCTGTCTTCCTGTCTTAATTAGTCTTCTGTCTTTCTGGGAGTTGGGTCTGTTCTTCTGCAAATGGCAGCACATCAGACAGGGGAAACCTGTCATGTTTGTTTTCTAAGCTGTAGGGGGTACCCATTTGAAAAAACTCCCAGCTTATCTAAACATTTTTGTTTGTATGATTTTGAATTAGGAAGTGTGAGTAATTAGTTAAGAAGATTAAATAAGTCTTAGCAACATGCAGTAGCATGCTTACTTTCCTCCCCCTCTCCAAGTATTTCCTGCACAAAACCCAGACTGCCAAACTGTGATGATACCCTTTTCTATTTTAGTTTCTCACTGTGCCACATGCTGATACAGCATCCGTTACTTCAATTCAGTCTCATTAAAGGGATTATTTTGTGCCTGGTTGTTCAAGAAAATTAATCTAAAGAGAAGAAACTTCAGGTTGTATTGTCTGTTGAACTATACCCACCACAAACATTTTACTCCTTTTGACTGCCTTATTAAACCTGTGGGAAGAAATTTTTGTTGCAGCACATAAAGGCTTTCCTCAAAGTAATTTTTACTTTTTTCAGTTAATGAAGACTTTGTCTGCTGTTAGTAGAACAATACAGGAGCAATAACATAGCTCAGGTAATATTTCATGTATTCCTAAGAAACTAAGCTCCCAAGCTTTACTTATCCTTTCATCAGCAGGACTCTTTAATTTCTGGAGAGGAACATTTACTCTCTAACTGCATCAGAAAACTTTGCTTGTGAAACCAGGATGACTAAAATATTAACTGTGCTTTCCATTTTCACTAATTACAAATATAAACCATCACTGGATGAATTGGATAAGGATGGCAGTGGTTTTTATGGAGTATGATCCTTGATGTCACTTATTGCACCTTAAAAAGTGAAATAATGAAAGATTTTTAAAAATCCACTAAATCAAGAGTGGAGAGGAGGAGTATTTGTTTACATAATCAATTATTGGGCTGTCACTGGGCTTTAATGAAGTTGTGGCTATTAAGAACTTGATACTGGAAACCCTTCACAAGCTCTCATTTGAAATGGTGGGAATGAGGAGGGGTTTGTACAAACAAGACTCGTATTACTCTGTGTAGTTCTCCTGTGTTTTGCACTGTTTGTGCACTGCAAGTCTTGTGTGCTCCTTTTGTGTGACAGAAAACAGTGTGAGCTATTAATCTGTACATGGGAAATATGTTCTGCCATTTGGAAGAATTTAATCTCCCTTGTACATAACTGCCATTTTAAATGTTCATCACCAGGAACAAGTTCTTACTTAGAAATTAGCTGTGCTGCATAAATAAATATTCCTCCTAGGATTTCAGACATTATAGACAACACAGAAAAATACAACAAGCAAATTTATTTTGACTTAAAGCTCTGCCTGAGAAAATTACCTTATAACTACACATGAGAAATTGCTGGAATGTCAGCTTCATTTGCAGTGGCCCCTTATGGCCTGATCACCCTCCCTGGCACGATAAATCACTGGCAAGATCCTTACCTTAACACGTTTGATCTCAGCTCAGCAAGACTTGGTTTTGATGTGAAGAACTCCAGATCTGTTAGGTCAGAGACAAATAGCAGAGCCACTGACCTGCAAAGTGCTAAGTCTATATTAGACCCAAGTGAGCAGCCTTAAGCTCCTGAAAAGTTTGCCTTCGCTTCTACTTTGCATCCTGAAGCTTTTCAAATATTACTGTTAGCATATTTTGTTAATTATGCCAGAAACATTTCCTTTTGTGCCAATTTGCATGTACAGAATCCACAAAAAGCATGTGGTGTGAGCAGCATTATCTTGGATAAAGTGTTAGAATTATCTGCACTTCAGAAAGACATGAAATATACCTCATTATTTATTGGTTTCTTTACTTAATTTACACAAATGGCTTGCACTGGCCTTTTTCTTACTAGACCATGCCTACTGATATCATAAATAATGATATTCACTAGTAAACCCATTAAGATGCTGCAAATTGCCTGTGTGTACATGTCTGTACATACAGAAATTCAGACTACTCCTAAAAAGAAAAAAACTCAGCTTGTAACATTTATATTCAAAGTCTGAACTTTCACAAAGAACAGTTTTGTGGCCACGCAGTTTTGCAGCCTTGGTTTGAAAGTATTACTTATTGTCCTGGTTAAACAGTCACTTATCTCTACGATAGTAAGCAGGAGTGTTAGTCTACCAGAAAATTGGATGTTCTTAATGGGCTTTGGGGGAGAATAGCTTTGCATCATCAGCATTAAGTTAAATCACATTAAGTAGCCACTTACAACATAGGGATTACCACTTATGACATCTTTGGTGAAAGCCTTTAAAACAAATTGTTGTGTTTGTTAGAAGAAGCTGTGAGATAACAATTCCCAGAAGTCTGATTTATAAATTCTTTTTGCTCTTCAAGAAGATGCAAAGGAGCCCAACACCTCTCATTCAGTGCTGCAATGAAATCTCTTAAGGCTGGAAATTCTTTTCAATAAAAAGTCTTGAAAATACTAATTTATTTGCTTTAGAATATTCTTCTGGAAAGAAGAAACCGTTAGACTACCTTTCCTCAGAGTACCAGTTCAGTTCCAATTTCTCCAGTTCTTTCTGTTGATTAAGTCATTGCCTTTTACATGTACAAAACTGGAATAGGCCATTCTGCTTTTTATTATTCATAAGGCTGACTGGGGAGAACTGGGTTTAAACTGTCAAAGTATCCTGCTGTGCTTGGATACCTGAAAGATTTACACCTCAAAGTATAGTGTGGTGCTAAGACTAAAACTGGATGTGGAGTGTTCTTCCAAGAGCTGATTACAGTCTCAATCAAATAGAACACCTGAGGATATAACAAAATAATGCAAATGTTTGATAGCAATGTTTAACATTTTTGTATGTGGCCAGCAAGGTATTCTGTATAGAGATGAAGGCCTGCATGAAAATTGAACTCTTATATTTAACTTTAAATAGAAACAGACTAATGACTTTGAGTATGTAAATTAAAAACATGACCCTAAACTTTTGCCAAACATGCAGTATTAAAAAAGTGGATTAGGGCAAACCCAATACCTGGTTATACTGACCTTTCCTTAAATGAGCAAAGTGTGCTATAAGTCTTATCAATAAAGAGCCTTCTTTAAAAAACTTGAATACTCATATATGCAGTCCCAAGATCCGCTCTCTCCATTTACTTTAAAATTCATGTTTCTTTTCCCCTTTTTAACCAAACTCCATTTTTCTCTGCTGGAACCCCTTGTTGGGAGGACCTCATTAGTTTCCCTGCTCTCTACAAGACAGGATTTATGCTTGTAGTGAACACAATGACACATGATCACTAAATGGCTAAAATCACTATTAAATATGAGAAATTTTTCACTCAGACATTGCAAGTACTACTGGTATGTAAAGGTATGGAGCCCAGTATATTAATTAGAGCAGACATGTCACCCAGTGCCCCACTTCTGCAAGGAGCACACCAGTGTCAGCTGTTGGTGAAGGTTCGTGGCATGCAGCCTTTGGCAGGTACCTGGTATAAGGTATATTGCCAATCCAATGCAGTGAGTAATAACTAAATTCCCATGGGACCTGGCTGAAGTCAAATGTTACTATTCCTGGTTCATTGCTTTTAGTCTCCCTAAAGACCATTTAGGCAAACAGCTGAAAGAGCTGACTACAAGGGTTCCCAGCCACAGGAAACCACTCTGGGAAAGCAGGTAAAGGCTTGTAACCAGGAAACAAGTTATCAAAGGATTTGTCCTGT